CTATAATAATGATAGTAATATAATAATGATATTAACGATATTGATCACTAAAGGACAACGCATCAACTTACCTGCATTGATGCTTCGAGTGATGGCAAGAAGATGTGTGATGTATAACCGAAAACGACCACTCCGATCATCGTTGGTAGTGTTCGAATATCAAGCGCTATTGGAACCTCACCCCAAACCCATTCAGAAATCTGAACTTTCAAGTTTTCATTTCATTCAATACGCTGAAAAAAATCACCAACTCAGAATCACTAATTGCTCATGGTTCGATAACTATACGTAATGCTACGGGTCTAGCAAGGGAGTGGATATGGACTAGGGTTGGGAAACGAGGGAAATCGCATTGGATATAGATTCGGCATCACCGCCTTTCGCTAGGTACTCCCTAGTGAAAAGCGGAGGGATGCCGAGAAGAGATTCATGTCACCGAAGAAATTCTCCTCTCGTCCGAATGTACTTCGCGTAAAAGTGACACGATTTTGCATCGATCAATAGAAAAAGTTGAGCGATAAGTTGGAATCAACTGATAGACGAAATGAGATCAGCTCACCTTTGAAAGGCAATAAATGACGAGTATAGCATTGACGATAAGATGTGATACAGCATTTGCTAAACTTAAATTGCTGACGATACGAATCGAATCAAGGAAAGAACAACTCAATAGTATTGCCGCCACTAACATCATCCATGCCGGCTTATCTGAATTTTTTCACTGTTGACATTTTAATGCACAACATCACACACTCTTCCTCATGAAGTGCACAGTTCCATTGCACACCTACAGCATCACATAAAACGTTGGTTCCAATGCCCAAAGAGGTCACGTAATTTGTTTAAGGGATCGCAAAAAATTTGTTGACAATGAAATGTTAGCGCATAATGATAGGGACCTATAATAATGTGCATCGTAAACAATCATGTGGAAATTTATCGGGTAAAATAGAGTCGCGAACTTTGAGGCGCGTTGATCTGACGAACGATCTAACAATAAACTTAAATTTTCAAGCGGTCAGTGGCGCACTTCA